ACATATACATATAGTGATGTCCAATCAATGTAATGAGAAATTAGATAATGATGAGATCATGATAATGAAACCAATCTTTAAATACACATTCTAAATATTCTTGGTCATTAGTTACTCGAGAAGGATATCGAGATAATTGGATAGACCGATGTACTATATACCCATCCATACGATGGAGGTGACTAGTCTCATAACTACTTGTACGGGGACACTAGGGATATAGTATATGTGCTAATTAGAAAATGAGTTCATTGAATGATCCATTTATGGAATGTTGGATGGTTAATGATACCCCATTGTTAGACAATGATTCTATAGTCTCAGTTGTATATATGATCCTTAGACTTAAGATACCAAGGATGCCTTATTTGAGTACTTCATTTTTTGATGTCGGACTTATAGGTCTAGAGATTCCAGATCTAGTACAACTAGTCATTGAGAATGATAGCCAATCTTACGAAAGTAATCATATGTCAATAAAGGATTATCCACTCTCGATATCATGAGAGGAATATTTCATGTATTCTTATTCAACCAAATCCCTAACTAGGGTTACTTAGATTGAGAGAGAAGGAGTTCTCCGAGAGAATCCAATAAGAGTGAGACTCGGATGAATTCTGTATGGGCCTAATAGCACTATGCCTAATATACGATCTTTAGGATGTTAGATAGATGAGGGATTATAGATATATAATAACTTAGGACAAATAGGTCTAATGGATTAGATCCTCCTATACTGTTTAGGGACTATGGTGTAGTGGCATAGTACATCTATAGTCGATAAGTTAAATGAATTATTATGAGGATAATAATTTACTGATTCAAAAGGAGTTATAAGTTAGAAGGGATTCTAACATATGTAATTCATAACCAGCTCGAAATTGGGCCGAGAGAGTCACACACAATAGATGGATGACACAACGAATAGAGGATTGGATATAGAATATCCAATAAGTCCCTTTTTAATGGATCTATTGGGTAAGACCCAATAGAACATGGAGCTTAGATTGATTATTAGACGAGGATCCAATACCCATTAAGCTATTAGATGGGATCCATTAAAGTTAACAAGAGGGGCTCTTTATAAATAGAAGTGGGGCTCCATGGGTCATAGGTTTGACCCCTTAGAACCATCGGCCTCCCATCACCTCCTCCACATCTTTGTCGTGAGCCTCTCTGGTGTGAGGACTGTAAGAGGCCTACCCCTCCCTTGCTTACTACTGCTACCCCCTATTGCGTGGTGGAGCATTGTCATAAGGAGAGAGTCCACTACGAGGAGGTGCATCATCGTTGCCATCCATTATGTAGACTTCCACTAGAGAGGAGTTAGCGAGAGCTTCTTCATTTGATAGGCTAGGATCTGTATTCTTAGGGGATAAACGACTTTCCTTATGTGAGAACATCTCTCCCCTTGATGCGGCTTTGTGGTTTCAAGTTTTTATACTCCCGATCATCTCTCAGCGATCAAATGCTTCCTATTTGGGAATGATTTTTTTGTTTGAATTTTTCACTACGCATATGATACTCGATATTTCATAATAATCCTCACTTCTTGTGCCTTTAATGCTACTTATAGGGCTGGCATTCTCGGATCACTGTTGTTGGGGTTGTTGCCATTGCCTTCATCATGAATGCCATCACCATCGAAATTGTCATTGCCATCGCCAATAATGCTATTGTCGTTGCCATAATTATTGCCACTAAACCTCATCTTAATGGGTTATAGGGTTGTATTCAACAAATTAAGTTTCTGATACATAATATCTACTATAAGTATCTGAGTATAGAGCATATTTTTTAATTTCCTAACCACAAACTTATTATGCTAACACTAAGAGCAAGGCTCTAATATCAACTGACGCATAACAAAAATAAAATAATAAATTACTACTAGAAAGGATTATAATGAACTGACTTGATAAGAGAAAATGAGGGAAATTAACTCCAAAGAAAATCTTTATAATACTTACAGATATTACTTTTTTATGATTTTATAGGTATAGAGAAGGCCTTTATTTATATTAATTATAGGTCTTGAAAACTAGTTAACTAATAATATAGGATAATTGAAAGAAACAAAGTATATAAACATAAATAATATGAGATAAATAAAAGCAATAAGTGGTTACTTTAGGCATTTTAAGAATAATCTTCTTATGCTAATTTTGTATTAAGATTGTCAAGATCTTTAATCGAGAATCTCCTAGAGAGAGTAGCAATAATATCTTGAATAAACTGCTTATAATTTTTCATGATTAATAAATTATCTACATAATCAGAATAAAAATTATAACAAACTTGTTAATATATATAAAAAAATAAAGTATTAAATTTGGAGTTAACAAAGTCGAGGGTGAGAATGAAGTCCTTCAATTCATGATACGAGGTGCTTGTTTTATTTTAAGACAGAGTGATTTATGAAGGCAACACATATAATTCGAGTATGAGGCATCAACGAAGCTCGACCAATGAGACATAGATTTTAAGTAAAATGATCATGAAGAAAAGTATTATTAATATTTAATTAATTTTCATTCATCCATAAGTGAGAGTAAAAGAAAGAATTTCCATTCATCCATAAGTGAGAGTAAGAGAAAGAATAAGCTGAATTGTCAGTGGTTTAATTTGACCAATACTTCCATCCAAATATTGTTTAATTCAATAAACCTATTTGTAAGAAATGATATTTTGATTAGAAGCAAAAGGAGCGAGCTCTTCATTCTTTACGAGAGTATTAAGCTCTTCACACATGGCCTCTTTCCGCTTTGGATCTTTAATAGCTTGAGTGATAGAGGAAGGTTCAAGTGTCTGATGACTTAAAAATATTATTTTGTGATATGATAATCATTGTATGGGTAGATCGAGAGATTATGGATGTTTGTGGAGTGATGAGCCATACTCTGAAGGCGAGTCATTCAAAGGTAAGCCAGAAGATGCTCTTAGAGTGGTATTCGCCGAATGAAGATTAACCACCAATGGTAAGTTGCTAGCTTGCATTGGGTTAGAGGGGATGGGTATATCTGAATAGGAACCAGATGAAGTTGATGCACGAATTGAACTTAGTAACGACTCATGAATGGAAGGTAAGGATGCATGATTACCCACCAAAGAATGTGGGTTTTGAAAAGGAATGTTAGAAGAATCATGAGTGGAAGGTGATTGAGTTGGCAAAGAATATTGAGTAATAAAAATTTCAAAATATCAAGATTGCAATGATGGTGACATATTTAACTAATTTGAGATGATTTGTGTATTTTTTTTATCATCATTTGTGAACATGGATGTGGATGAAAATTTATCTTCAACAAATTAAACACGAAGTTAAAAGTAGGTCTTAAGTTTGATTCGATCAAAACAAATGTAAATAATTATGGATGTCTGAATAACCTAAAAAAATACAAGGTTTGGAAGATATTACTCTAATTTATGTTTGTTATAAAGCCAAAGCCAAAGCCATAGATAACAAAGATATCCAAATATTGATAATTTCAAATAATTGGGTTTGATGTGAAATAAACACTAAAAAGATGATTTGTTCTTAAGAATAGGTGTTGAAAGTTTATTAATAAGATAAAACACTAGTTTTAAATACATAGGTCCAAAAATATAAGGGGAGAGATGCTCGATGTATCGATAATATGTTGATGATGACATTTAGTGGAAGCTATATGCTGGGAGTTGTAGGGATGAGAAATTAAGTGCAATGCAACAATAGAGAGAGAGAAGATAAAAGAATAAAAACTCAATAGAAGTTGTAGTGTTACCTTTAACCACGATCAAATAAGCGGTGCAAGAAAACAATAACAAGAGAGAGGATCAAAGAAAAAAGGAATACTACGTTGAAAGAAGGAAGTATAAAGTAAAAGCTCTTTGGGGCAACTATTGTTCTGATACCATATTGAAACAAGAGGGACCATAAGAAAAGACAAAACACATAAAGCTTGAAAGGATAAAAAAACTTATGTTACCTTATACACACTTAGTCAACATAGTGATATGAGAATGGAAAGAATAATCAAATCCTTAAAATTACATAATTACATTAATCAAGTATCTAAAATTGTGATATTGATTAATCTTTCCAATACCAATTGATTGTGAGTGATTTGCTAGAGAAGATTCTTTCTTAATGGAGTGATTAGCCGGAGAAGATTTTTCCTTCAGAGTGAGGATTCGTCTCATCCAAATTGAGACTATATAATTAATTCCAAAAATACTATTCCTTAGTTTCCTTATATGTAACTAAAGACATACAACTTCTACTCTAATCTTCTGATGGCTTTGTTTTTAATCAACAATCGATCAGCTAATTGGTTAGCTAATTTGGTCAGTAATTTCAGTAGATTTACAGGTTTTTGGAGAAGAGACGGACCCTTTCAGTTTCTTTTGATAGTTCATTTTTGACTGGAACAGTGATTTTTGCACCCGATTCTAAGTAATATATTCTACTCTTGTCGCAAAAAGAAGAAAACATGGCATGCTTGCCTCATCGAGACAGTAGGTAGTATGGCGCAAACTAGGACTCATGCCAAAACCATAGGCTAAAATCCAGGGACGTTGGGGTCGGCATGCATGTTCTTCATCTAATGACATGGTACTTCAAATAAAGAGTAGACTAGTAAAATCATTGCAGAAAACTGTTTCAGAAGCATGATGAGTGGCATGTCAGGAGTATCATAAGCTGAAAAGAAGAGGAACAATTAATGTTGCGAGTATGAGAAGTCATGTATATCCTTGACAATTCAAACAGACCAGTGTCCCATATGGTAAGCTTCAGCTTCTTGTCACCGACTGTGAGATATTTGATCTGGAAATCCGTCCCTGTAAACAGATGCCAGAGAAACCATGAATTCTTTGCATGCATGCAGGCATGGCGGCATAAGGTCATCGGAAGCAAGTAATCCAACAAGACGATGGGGGTAAGCGCACCGAGGGTGGGTGGGTGGTTGTCGACGAAGTGGGACATGAAGCTCTGAATGAGGCAGCTCTTCCCCACGCCGGCGTCCCCTATCAACAGTATCTTGAAGGAGTAGTCGTAATCCTGCTCCGCCGATGAACCCATCTCTCTTCTTCTCTGCTGCTGCTGCTACGAGTAAGGGAGGAAGAAGAGCTCTGATGTCTCCCTGCGTGAGACTGCAGCTGTGACTTGCTACAGGTGGTGGGCTACATAAGTACGGTAGAAAGGCAGAGAAAGAATCGATGCTTTGCGTTGCTTTGCTCTCTCTCTCTCTTTTTCTTTCTATCTTCTCTTTGTATTCTCTCCATTTGGCTCCTTGTCGGCCACTGTCGCCAGAGCATCTACCTTTCTTCCTTGAGAAGAGATATCGGTACTTGAAACGAAGTCTGTAGGTGTCCACGAAACACACAATGATAGCTCCATTACTTCTTTCTCGCTAGAAACCAAGCTGTCATTTGATTCGTCCAAGTTAGAATATGAATCAGAATTTCACTGGGATTGATATTATATCACGCTTATACGTAGATTCAAACTTTAAGCTTGTCGCTCGTGTAACAGCACATTAACTAACCCGCATAGCTTGATAGATATCACAGATTTGATACTGAAATGATCATTTCTTATATATATATATATATATAATCGAAAAAGAACATATTCTTTGATCTTTCCCAACATCTTTTTCTTTACATGGATTTACAATATTCTCTGCTCAACTTGTTGACGGAGGATTTTGATGAGGAGGGTTCAAAACAGCGTAAGAAGATAGTACAAGGAAGTCTCGTGTCACCTACCTTTTGTTCTTAGACAACGCACCAAAAAGAGAAAAAATAGAACGACAACTATGTATCACTGTCGATTAGGATTATGGCCTTATGTCAAGATCCTTGGGTTACCGATATGCCTCAATTGATTTTGTTATTCTAGAATTGTCTTGGTGCCCGCAAAAAAGAACGTAGGGAGGTTCTAACCTCTCTCATCAGACTGCACTAAATTGATCTAATTATTCTTCTTCGAACACAAATGCAGGAGGAGCACAGTCAAACTTTCATTAAACCGCGTCTTCTCGGCTGCGATTGAAAGAGCCAGGGGCGTCTTAGTTGCATGGAAACCAGATCACTGTAGAGCTACTGTCGTCTATAAGAATTCTCAGGCTATTAATTTAATGATGAAGAAGAAGAAGGTAACAAACCTTGGTTACTCTCCACGATGTATACTACAAGTGTTCTCTCTCTCTCTCTCTCTCTTCGAAATATTTTATGGCATCAGTTTTCTCTTTTAAACACCTCCAATACTGGTCTGCTTCTTAGTGGCGATGTTAATACGGTTTCTTAAATTTTTACGATAAACCTGATTATGGTTCTTCAAGAATTGTTGCTTACTAGATAGAGCTTTTGTAAATGAGGAGTGAAACTCCATCTATAGCGACTCTAAGATTACTCATCTTCCCAATATGGCTTCTGATCATGCACCCATCTGGACTCAAGCTTTTGACTTCGTCTCTTGTAATCATAGGAACCCTTATTTTTAGTTTAATACTTGTTAAATTATTCGGAGGTTAAGGATATTGTTAAGGAGAATTGGTATGCTGGTGGTGGGGCCTCTCACCACCCCCTTGAGTCATATCAACAACCAACTTTCTTCTATCAAAAACGCCCTTACCCACAGGATATGTCCTAAGGGAGGGCCACAAGATAGAATATCAAATTCAAAAAACCCTAGATGACTTTGAGAATCTACTGTTGGGGATGGAGGAGCAAGGAAAAACAGAATACTACGATACGAGTAAAAAGAATCCTTTCGACTCAAGAAAACTGTTGTAGTATTAAAAGCAGAAGGATTGATAAGAACACTTACAAGATACCAAGTGCACATAGAGTCTCTATCTATCTGTCTCTTTCTTTGTTTGCTATCTCTATATCTTGCTAGATGAACTACGATCCTATTTATAGGACCTAGTGACAACCACCCTATAACTACTAGATCATAAGGTCCACCCTATAACTACTAGATCATAAGGTAGTTATTGAAACCACCTTATAACTACTAGATCATGATTGAAGTGGTTATTGAAATCATCATGTAACCACTAGATCATGATAACAATCTAGATAGATAACTATGAATCATATCTCAACACTCCCCCTTGATTCATAGTTGCATACACCAATTTGCGACATAAAATAAATATGCTTTCGAAGTGGAAGTGATTTGGTGAGGATATCCGCAACTTGTTCATCCGTTCCACAATACTTCATTATTATAGCTCCACGTGCTACAAGATCTCGGATGAAGTGATAGCGTATCTCTATATGCTTCGTTCTTCCATGAAATGTTGGATTCTTCGTCATTGCAATTGTGGCTTTATTATCACAAAATATTTTCGTTGCTTCTTTTTGTTCTTGATGAAGATCTTCAAGAAGTCTTCTAAGCCATATTGCTTGACAAGCTGCTGATGTTGTGGCTACATATTCTGCTTCCGATGTCGACAATGCAGTTATTGCTTGCTTTACTCTTTTCCAGCAATCTGCCTTCATGTGACCAAACTTTTTACAATAGTGACATTGAATTCCACTTTTGTAATTTTTTTGATCATAATTTGATTGCCCTTGTTCATCAAAGTGTCCTCTTCCTCTTTCATTTCCTCTACCACGAAATCCTTCTCTGCCACGTCCTCTTCCTGCTGATTTTTTATCTCTTTTGAAGTAGAAGACTCTTCCTTAACCTGAAATGCTTTTTCTTCACTTTTTTCAAGTGACCTGTTCAACCTTACTTCATGTGCTTGCAAGGAATCCATTAGTTCATCAAATGAATAAGTAGATAAATCTTTTGATTCCTCAATTGTGGCAACAACATGATCAAATTTCGGAGTTAAACTTCTCAAAACTTTTACAACAATTATACGATCAGGAAGATGTTCACCATAAGATTTCATTTGACTAACAATTTTAGTCACTCGAGAAAGAAAATCTTTCACCGATTCATTGCTTTTCATGAATAAAATTTCAAACTCACGACGGAGGGTTTGAAGTTTTACCATAATCACCCTTGATGAGCCTTGAAATTCATTTTGAAGTATCAACCAAGCTTGCTTTGAGGTTGTCGCTGCTGCAATTCTTGAGAAGATCGTCTCATGTACAGCTTGTTGAATGAAGAACAATGTCTTTGAGTCTTCTTTCTATTCTCCCTCAGCCTGATTTCGTCATTTGGATCTGCATATCCATTCTCTATTAAGTCCCAAAGATCTTGAGACTTGAATAGAGTCTTTATCTTGATACTCCAAAATTCATAGCTTTTGCCCGAGAAGATGGGGATAAGGGGTTGAGACATGGAATTGCCATTGAAAGCCATAATGCCCAGTTCAGATTGAAACTAGGCTCTGATACCACAAATGTTGGGGATGAAGGAGCAAGGAAAAACAGAATACTACGATACGAGTAAAAAGAATCCTTTCGACTCAAGAAAACTATTGTAGTATTAAAAGCAGGAGGATTGATAAGAACACTTGCACACAGACTCTCTATCTGTCTCTTTCTCTGTTTGCTATCTCTATATCTTACTAGATGAACTACGGTCCTATTTATAGGACCTAGTGACAACCACCCTATAACTACTAGATCATGAGGTAGTTATTGAAACCACCTTATAACTACTAGATCATGATTGAAGTGGTTATTGAAATCATATCATCATGTAACCACTAGATCATGATAACAATCTAGATAGATAACTATGAATCAGATCTCAACACCTACAACTCAAAGACAAGTGTGGTACCTTCCTTTACTAATATGAATGGCATCCAGCTTCAATCCTATCACGCCCCGAACTAACCTATATCAGTTCTCGGAAAAGAGCAATTCGTTCATGAACTAAAATCCTTTAATAGAGCTATATAATTTTTTTTTCAAAATTAATATTTTTGTTACAATAATGATAATTATAAAATCTATCTTCAATTTGAATAATTCTTTGACTCTAGCTCTCTATACCATGCTACCTTTATACAAATCTATAGTTCTTTTTATTTTTTTGTGAGGACAAATGCTCAATAAGAAATATAATATAGTTCAAAGCAAGCATGCAATAATATTATTCTCATACTAATATATATGTCACAACAAAAAAAATTAACACTTAAGATATTCCTCTCGGGTTAAGTATGAAAATACGCTCAATGGAGAGCCTAGAGCTTGACATATATTGATTGTCACACGAATTGTGAGTTCTTCTACCATGCCTCTAGCGAGAGCAAGATATGCCTTAATGTTGCAGCAAAACCCCAATACGTACATTCAAAGGGGACAAAATGATAGGAAAAACCTCACCCACCAATTGTAGCTCGTCGCGTGGCTGCCAACTCAGCCTAGAGAGTGGAACTTGGATGACATGGAAGCCACCCAAGATCAAAACAACAACCACTGTAGGAGGAAATATTCAACCCATACCATTGAATATTCCTTTGGGCCCAACCTGCTATAAAGGTCATTGGTTTACTATTACATAAGTTAATTACTATTAATTCATGACTCCACTTTTCTCTTAGATATTGACTTAAGCATCAAAGGAACCAATCAAGCACTCCACTCCCAATTTTGATCTTTTTATAGGTCGACCCTCTAACGAGCACACGAGTCACCTCCTCATTCATTTAGACTTATTCACACAAAATCCACAACTGAGTCGACACAAATACAAATGCATCATCGACAAATCCACCGTCACCAGCAACTTTATCACGATCTAGACAGGAAATATCCCTATCTTTGATGGAGATGGAGAGTTGTGACCATGTAGACCGACCAATGCCAGCTCTGTTGAACGCTGAGCTTTTCTGATTGGCTTACAACATCACGAAGTTAACTCCAAAAGAAATATTTTGGTGCAAATGGATGTACAATCCGTTATTCATTTTGGCTCTGGATCCGCTAAGGTTCCATGGTTTTTGAACTCTCTGATCCTAGACGAGAACTTTTGCCAAACATGTTAATGTTGTTCAGTTCAAACATGTCGACAGAGTGCTAAATGTTAGAGCTACCCCGCTCAATCGTCTAGAGCTTGATATTTTAATCTTTCTTCGAGTGCAACAGAATCTTTTGCTAGTGTTACTAGAGAAAACAATATTCATGAATTCTAATTTTAGAATTCTAATGGTAGAACTAAATAATTAAAATTCTAATACTTCTTTTTTCTGATTTCCTGTGATGCTTTGTGCATATATACATAGGGAAAGTCGTATGAAATCAGAATGCAAGAAATGGCGTGAGAAGGGATCATAATTGTTGATACAGGTCTTCTCTACATAAAAAAAAAAAAAGAAATATTTTGGTACAATAAAATGGGAGGTAATTTGGATCATTAAAAAAAAATATATGTACTATAAAAAATAAGATATCAATGACAAAGATATAATAGAAATGTTCTATTATATGCATACACTTAGAAAGGCACGAGAAATGAAAAATGCAAGCAAGATTTGGAAGGGATCATAATTGTTGATAATCTTTTGTTTTAATAGCATCCAAAGTGATTTGGATGTATCATTCAAAAATTAAAATTGACTTGCATTACAAAAAAAAAGACATCAATCCTACCAATTAATTTCACGGGCTTAGCCAATTATTTCAATCTTTTATACAAAAATATCCATGAAAAATAAGAATTCACGCTCTCAAAAGATTTTTTTAATTATTTCTACAATGGCATGTGTCAATATTTTGTTATTATTTTGAGAAAAAATGATAATATTGTTCCTCCAATGACCTAGAATTTTGGTCTTTAGGGAATATCATGTTCATCCAATAATAAAAGTTTTAATTTATTCAAATGAACAATTTAAACGGATATTTACCTTCAAGTGATCAAAATTAATCATTTCCCACTAATCAACAACATATGGAAGAAGGGGTCTGTTCAGTTGCATGAAGTTTGGCAGCCTATTCGCAACAGTTAGCCTGGTCACAAGTGTATGGTTTCCTGCAGGTAGCCTGGATGCAGTGTCTATACAAACTTTTGCAGACATGAAATTAAACTTTTTTTTGCATCTCTACTGCGAGCCCAAGAACAGGACAAACTGTATCTTTATAGCACAGAAGACAATAATATATCGAGGGGTACTTATGAAAACAAAAACCCCGGTTTGAATCACCAAAGGATGGGTGGCCTAGGGATTAGCAATTATACTGGCTTTGACAAAAGTAAAAAAGACCACCTTATTGCTTTTTTGTCCTTTTAGATGAATGTATACAAAACATCTACAGAATCAGGAACTCATATGGCTTGAGTTAAGCATTTCAAAACTTCTCAAGTTATTTTGATTTTGTAATCAGTCACTAATAGCTGACACATGACAAAGAAGTATGTATAAATCTACTGCTGATCGGTATACTGCACAAAGAAATTCAGTTGAAACTGGATTTGATGGTTTCTAAGCAGAGCTAATACTCGGAGATGATCAGCAGCAAAAATCGGAGTAGCAGACATGCTAAATAAATAATATCAAATAGTCCCATGACTGAATTATAGGGTCTGGCTTCAAAACCCAGTGAATTGTGAAAAGCAATCAAGTTAATGTTTAATTTTATACTTAAGTGCGATTCTGAAGCTGGATTTTATGCAAGAAAGAACTTGAGAACATTTAACTGAATTTCCTTTACTTTCAATTGGGGTGGTGAACAGAGTAAGGATCCATCTAAATTTCATAAGTAAATCCTAAGGAGCTTCAGGTCAAAAGGAGCAAAACAGATGAACAAACTGAAGTACCTCAATCGAAAGCTCGAAGAATGCAGCTGCGACTGGAATGAGGTAATTTCACAATGCCTGAACTCTTAAAAAGAACATGGTCACTCCTGATGGAAGCAAGAGCCTATATGATTGCCTCATTCCAATAATGCAGTACAAGCAGGCAACAACAAAGCCCATTTGAACCTCACTGAATTATCCTTACTTCAAACCACCTATCTAGCACAAGGAGCCTCTGAAAAGGTTTTCATAATTTCTCCTAATGCTCAAAATTTCTCGCATCATATGATTTTGATGCTCTTGGTGCACCACTGACCTTACCTGTCTATATCCATAGACTGTTGATTCTGAGCACAGAGAATAGATTTTGAATCACAAATTTTAACATCATGACCAAAAGAATTACTTGAGAAGCCAATCTCTGTCTCTTCGTCATCACTATCGATATGATTTGGTGTCATACGGTTCTGGTACCTCCTACGTCCGACAAGAAACACATTGAAATAATAGCTCACCATACTTTCCCTCCGCTTATAAGGAAAATTCAAGTAAAGCTGGTCCCAAAAGTTTTTGTTTAGAGATGGACGATTCCGAACGATTATGTCCCTGAACTTCTTTTCTTCTTCCTCTGTCCACGAAAGCGCAACTTCCTCACCCATACTTTCACATTTCCAAGAATGGAAAGTTGTGCCAATTTCACATTTCAATTGAAGCCTCTTTTCTGCAATGTGAAATCTAATACACTCCACAGAGCCTGGCCATTCACACTGACAGGTATTGGGCCTCCCTCTTCCAATAGAAGCATAATCCAATACTGGACTCCTTTCTTGATTTTCAGGAGGCCAGGCCCGTTTGCCCAACCATTTTAATGTATCAGAATCAGTAGACAAAACTGTAGGCTGGCTGGTCCAATTTGGCACTTGTGCTTGAAAGCGTGCACCCACAGGTCTCAGGGACCATTGTTGATCTCTAGAAAGCCACCCAGCAGTTTGAAGCCCCAGAATGGTTTCTGTTGCTTTAACCTGGTTTGTTGATCCAAAACCATTATGGAAAGTGTGTATCTTTTGCTCTTCATCTAGTACCTAAACATGACATGTTTTTATTCTCAATTAAGAATTTTATCATAAATAACATAGCTGAAACTAATAATATTGAACACATGATCATATGCACAACCCCTGAATACTGCAAAATAAGTCTCTCTCATGACTTAGCAGCAGACTTATGTAAGACCAGTTGGCATAAATTGCATCAACATCAGTCAACTCATACAGTATGGTATATATAGTAGAGCACAATAAAAAAGGTTTTGAAGACTCAGTTCAGGTAAAACAAGAAAAGGTAAAAAAGAAGATGGTAGATAACATATAGCACCTCAAGGTATCATTTTCATGATCATGAATATCCAAGTATTTCTAATTTACCAACTAAGAAAAATTAACAACACCTTGAGGTTCAAAATGCAAAGATATATATTTTACCATTGATTCTTGACATCAAAGAAATTTTTTTGGTTGTACATGATTATGGAGTTACCCTTGGTATCTTTTGTTATAGGGAAAGAAATGTATGATTAGCCTACTACCCGAACTTCTAATCATCAAGGAGTTACCCTTCAATTTTCACATTAGTTCCACCAGAAAATTTACATCAGAAATGATAGTCAAACATAATCAGAAGTAATTCTTATTATTATAAATAAATATATGCTTTGCCTCATATTTTGGAACTTTCTAGAACTTCAATGGTTCAATTAGAATGTGATTTCTAAAAGAGATCTCTCTTTCTTATCTTGGTAAGAATAGGCACTGAAAAAGCATTCAAAATTATATATCTAGATAGTGCCTCCAGGTGTTAAGGTATCCTTTCTCAAGGTTAAACTATTCATATCCTGAAAATGATTTATACTTTCTGGAGTAGTACCTTCAATAGAAATTCTTCATAGATCAAGTGTCTTGTAAGTAAAATCTGTTTCCCAAGGATTTCTCAACACCTACAAGTTATTTCTTTTAATGGAAAGAAAAGAACTTGAAGATTCTGCAGATTATAATGTTCTAGTGGCAAACTAATATTTATGTTAAAATGATATATGTCTTTAGACACTTCTGGAAGGCACAGAAAATGAGCAATGCATATTATGAGCTCTGCAAGTAATTCACCAAAATCCAAGGTGCATTAATAAAGGGTTATCACAGACATTGACAAACAAGCAAAAATGTCAATGTCATCAATGGCGAACCTATTTGATCAGTAACACATGATTGTTATCAAGGTTCGCAATACCGTACCGTACCGATATTTCGACCTGGGCTC